TTCTGAGGTTCGTCTTCTTCTAGCTCAATCTCGTGACTCCTTAAGGAACTGATAAATTCCTCCAAAGTGATCTTATTCAGATCCTTCGCAAGCTTCAGAGCTGTCACCATTGGTCTCCACCTTGTTGGCAAGCTTCTAATGATCTTCTTGACATGGTCAGAAGTGGAGTAACCTTTATCCATAACCTTCAACCCAGCAGTTAGGATCTGAAATCTTGAGAACATAGTTTCCACAGATTCAGACTCCTCCATCTTGAAGGCTTCGTATTTCTGGATGAGCGCCAGAGCCTTGGTCTCCTTTACTCGGGAGTTTCCTTCATGAGTCATCTTCAAAGATTCAAACATATCAAATGTTGTTTCTCTGTTTGTGATCTTCTCATACTCAGTATGAGATATAGCATTTAATAGAATGGTTCTTGCTTTATGATGATTCTTGAATTCTTTCTTCTGAGCTTCAGTCATTGTCTTTTTGTCAATCTTTTTTCCATCCCCATCAGTGGGGTGAACATAACCATTAATGACCAAATCCCAAAGGTCAGCATCATAGCCTAAAAAGAAACTTTCTATTCTATCTTTCCAGTAATCAAACTTCTCACCATCAAACATGAGAGGTTTGATGCTGATTCTATCTCTATCTTCATATTCGTTGTTGGAAGTTGAAGTTGAAGCTTCAGCCATAATATCAAAGATAAGAATCAAATCAGAGTTTTTCCCAACTGGATCTCTCTTTCACTGTAAAGTGATAGCACTATAGAGTCGGAACTCTGATACCAACTGAAGGTGAGAAAAACACTTAGAGGGGGGGGGGGGGGGTGAAAAAGGGTTTTTAAAACAAATTGGAAGATAGAAAATAACAAGGTATTTTTATCCTGGTTCGTTTGAACTCAAACTACTCTAGTCCACCCTACCAAGGTGATTTGCCTTTCTCAACAAGGACTTAATCCATTAAACCAAACTAATTATAGTGTTAACCACTAAGACAACTGTCTTAGTCTTCTAAAGAAAATCTGACCACAACTTGGTCTTCTTAAGGAAATCTTTTACAAAGATAAACTAACAATTTGTGTTTAAGGTTTTGCTTCTAACAAGCTATATCACAACAGTGATGTTTACACAAAAATTAAGAACGAATATGAAAACTGTTAAGCTTGAAGAATATTTGAATGAGAGCTTGTGAGTTGTTTTTCTTTCAATTGATTTGTCAACGTTGGAAAGATGCTGAAACTTATTTAAATACTACTTCAAGTCCTTATCTCAAAGACTGTGCATTTCTGTATGTTCTGCTACCTCTGTTGCCTTTTTGTCTTCTATTGACTTTTCCTTTCCAGGAAGAGGAATGTTCAGAGATGTGCTTTGTGTCTGAATTCTTGTGTCATGCATAAATGAGGAATAGTGTCGTTGGAGCAGACGTTGGGATTAGCAACAGATCTTTTCTTTGAGCTAGCATCTTTTCAAGTGAATAAATATATCCTTCAATTAATACTAACATCAGATCCTCTGATGTAGTCCCTTATTCTTCAGATCAGAGTCTTGTAGCAATAGTGCTAAAGCGTGAATGTTACAATCAGCGCAGAGTTGAATATCAGAGCCTCTGTACTTGCAGCGTGAAGTACTTCCAGAGTCTTATGAAACAATGTTGTACGCTCTTTACTCAAATTCTTCTGAGTTTCACTCAGAGTCATCTGTAGCAGATAAGAAGCTCTTTAGGCAACGCTCAGAGTCTTCTGAAATGTTGCTTCTGACGCTCAGAGTCTTAACGTTCTTTTCAGTTGCAGATGTAATTTTTGCTTCCAGATGAATATATAATTCAAGATTTGAAACAAAATTACTTAAACACAATTAGAGTATATATTTCCTTTATACAAAATTTCATTTATGTTATCATAAAAACAATGAGATATATTAAACACCAATCTGTGTTCTAACAGAGATTAGTGCCAAAAGAGAGCTAACAGCTCAAGCATTTAACTTGTCAAAACTGAACTACAGTATTCAATGGCAGAAATCCAGAGCTAGGTGGCTGAAAGAAGATGATTTTAACTCTAGATACTTTCACGAATGCATCAATAAAAGAAGAAGAGACAATGAGATTCTAAGCCTATAAGTCGATGGAAGAGAGATTAAAGAGGTGGAAGACATTAGGAACGCTATAGCAGATCACTTCCACGATTAATTCTCGACTAAGAAAGTAAGACTTGTTCCAATTTTCATGAACTTCAAAAGACTTGAAGAATGTGATACAGTTGGATTAATACAAGAGTTTTCAGAAGAAGAAGTCTATTATGCAGTAAAAGATTGTGATAGCGACAAAAGTCCGGGTCTTGACAGGGTAAACTTAGGGTTCGTGAAAGAGTTTTTGGATGACATTAAGCCTGACTTCTTGAGAGTTTTTGTAGAAATAATATATGAATAAACATTATCATATATACCAAGCTAACAGTAGCAACTCTATTGGGTTTAGAACTCCATCCAACTGGTTATTTTATTTCATTTCAGTATCTCCTTTTCATTTTAATAAATAACATCTAACTATTGCAATAAGTCATAATGCCTATCGGACCAACCAAATCCAAAACAAACAAAAATCATGTTCATATACATATATTTAAACTTAAAACAACTCTTAATATACCTACTTAGCACTACTTCACTTTGGTTACAGTCAACACCACTTGAGAGCCCATGACCACTCATTTCCTTTCCATTGTTAATAGAGAAAATATGCATTCTTTCATAGAAATCTCAATTTAGGTGAACAATCCATGCCCATCTAAAACAAGCAAATAAAACAAATTTAAAATACAATGATCTAATCCTTAAATTCGTAAACCGAGTTTTGGGAAGTGTGGTTTGTTCACGAGGGATCTTGTTTAGTTGGCCACTTCTAATAGATGCATCCTCTACACCTCTCGGGTTTGTCTTCGTGTTGACAAGGATTTTATCCCACAGTAGATATGGCTCTTCCTCATTGTTCATTAAGATAATTAGTCATTCTCATTCATTAAATATCCTCCCATGCGGCAATGTATGCAACTAGTAATTTGTTTTCTTCTCCATGGTTAAAATGTCTTTATTTTTTAGCCATTTGGACTAATTAACTCATTCTCGTTTCCAAGCATTCTTCTTCATGCCTTTTTTCCTTATATATTATTTTGTGTTGATGGGAAACTCATATTATTTATCCGTCCTAATTAAATCTTTGACAACATCTTCCAATTGTATGCATTATTTTGTATCATAGACGTTACACATGTGGAAATGACAACATTGTGATTTGTCAACTCCCGGGCACTCTCATAGTAGTTTTGGTGTTTCAATTTGTTCTTCTCTAAACTACATGTTGATGCATCATTGCAAGATACTCTCTTGATACGTTCGGTGACATGTAATATTTGTATCGGGAGGCAGTGCTCCCTTGGCCTCTTTGCTAGTTAGTGGATATTTCTCGGCTTGGCCCCCTCTTTTTGTTTCCATGTTTTGTTTTTTCGTTTCCTTATCAACTTATTTCTTCCTTTTCAAACCCTATGTCATAAATTGTCTTACTGACAAACACCTTTACCTCGTATTGTATGAACTTGTTAGCCCTTGCTAATAGACTGTTAAATGTTTTAAGGACAACCTTGATTCAAATACTTTCAACAAATTTGGACTCTTGTTGGAGTCTTTTACTTTAAAGGTACTTCTTTATATTCTCGCTGGCTTCTATGACTAATATCACTTATATCTTGAACCTCTAGATGTAGGACTGTAGTGACTTGCATTTCCATTGTTTGATGAATCTCAGGCTTTCCACTATCGTGGGGTGTCTTTTTCACGTCGTCAAGTGTATGAAAGCAAACACTTCACGAGGTCCAATTTTACTGAAATAATTGGAACTATAAGGAAACGTCTTCTGTGCATTTCACGACGTCGCGAAGGTAACCTAAGTTAGTGGAAAACCTGAGATTCATCAAACAAGAGAAAGACAAACTGATATGAACAAGAGAAAGACAAACTGATATGATCCTACATCAAAAGGTTCAACGTAGTAGCGATAATGGTCAAAGGCGCCAACGATGAGAATAAGAAGTACCTATTAAGTTTAAGACTTCAATTATGACCCACATTTTTCGAATGTATTGGACCTAAGGCCCCTAAAACCTTCAACAATTTGGACGAGTTTCGCAGACAAAGTAAAGACGAAATGCTAAGAAAAATGAATAATGTAATCTATTCATCTTTTTGTGAATGATAATATCATTTCTTCTAATATATTTTGTCGGAAAATGAATATAATGTAATATGAGTATCACACATAAGAAGAGAAGTGTAATTTACTAAACATATATTTCTTTAAAGGGAAGAAAAATGTATATTTTAACACAAGAGAGAAAAATAATATAACATGAGTATCTACTGGAAGAAAAAAATATAATTTATTCAACAGTTAAATGGTAACCAAATAAATTAATTTAGTTAACAAAAATAGATTTAAGAGACTAAATAATATTTATTAAATAAAAGTTTAACACAAAACAATAATTATATTTTGTGATAAATTTAATTAAGTTTTTTCTTCTTCTAATTTTAATTTATACATATTTATATTTATTGATTTATGACATCTTTTAGATTTCTTAACTATATTTTTGAATTTAGATTAATCTCTTAATTTTTTTCTGTTAGATTAATCGTTTAACTCTTAAAATTTATTATTGTAGTTCTTTTTATCTACTAAAAAGAAAATTTAAAAATCAAACGCTAAATTTATTGTTAATTAAATAAAAAAATTAACATTAACACATTTTAAAAGATGAATCTAATACTAAAAAAAATTAAGATATCACTCTAAATTTAAAGTTAAGGGATAAAAATAAAATTTTGCCAATTTTATTGAAGACCGAGTGGAAGCGGCAGATGGAGGGAAACATTTATATATTCCCTTTCCCCCGCCATTTACTAATATCTTTCACCCTCTCCAATATCTCTGTATTTCACTCTCAGATTCTCCTCTCTTCTTCAATGGCGAGGTCTAGAACCGCTGCAAAACCCTCCGCACCTACGGATACCGAACCGGAAAGTCCCTATAACCTCGAAGTCATCTCAATCGGTTCACTCTACAATGGACCATGGGGCAAAAAGTATTGGAGCAGTTCTAGGGTTTGATTACATTTTCTCTAGCGTTTTCTTTTCCTTGTTTGTTTCAATTTGCAATTTGCAATTCCATATTGTATTTGTTTGTTTTCCTTTGCCGGTTGTAGGGAAAAGATCGATATCCATATCCAGTTGGTTACCAAGTTGTTAGAGCTCATAATGGAACCACTATTAACATGGAAATTCTCGAGGGCGTTAATGGGCCTAAGTTTTTGGTTTGTATTCAACATTCTCTCTCCTTTAATGTTTTCACTTCAGATTCCATTTACTAAATGCTTACTGTTTCTACAGATTTCTTCTGATGATGGGAATTCAGTTTCTGGGAAAACTCCACACTTTGCATGGGTGGAATTTCAGAAGAAATGTCGCACTCGCATGAAGATTTTGCATCGGAACAGACTTTCGTCTAAAATGGATGCCTTAGAGGTAGGAATTGCTAACAATGTGATAAAAGCTAGTACCCAACTACACGTTAATAGTAAACAATGGTATCATTATTGCTTTACAAAGGAACAACTTGTCTAACAATCAAGATTCAAGAGGATTATTAAGTTGAAAAGTTAAACTTAAACATAAATTCCATATAAAATTTTCTCATTATCAAAAGAGAAAAGGTGAGTGAATAACTTTGTAGTGTGCTGCATTCTTTAAAGAACACTGGTTTTATCTGACAAATGTTAGATACCATGCATACAAACAATGAATAAACCGGGTTGATTTTTACATTGAGTCAGCTTTGGATCCGTTAGGATCAGATTAGGGTCAGCTTTGGGTCTGTTATTGCATTCCTTAATCTATGCGCAAAAGCCTTAAACAACACTCATTTTGAAACAGAGGGAGTACTATGCAAGCTGTCTCCGACAGCTCTAATGCTGTTAGACCTAACATGTGCATCTCCACACAGGATTATTAGAGTCAGCCAGCTTTGGATCTATTAGGATCATATTAGAGTCAGTTACATCTAACTTGTGCACCTCTGCACCTGTGCCCAGGATTAGAGTTAGTTCGGATCAGTTCCCACTAACTTGCACATGTGTGCAGGAATAGGATCCCATATGATGATGTAATCATTCACTATTGAATATCATTCTGTTATGGATTCTTCCCAAATTAACAAAAAACATTCTTAGGGCTCCAAAATATTGTGTTATCAGGAGAGTTAGCCCGTCATGGTTCAATATGATATTAGAAAATCCACCATGTCTAGTAGATGCAAACAGGTTGCTCGGGTGGGAATGTCAATATTGTTGTAGTGTTAACCTAGACCTATTCAGAGCCCAGACGGCTAATTCATTACTCGTCTATGTGGTTTCTGGGGATGTCAGCCTGTCAGTTACGGTGGAATGTTATAATCTAGATGCAAGGTGTGGGGCTTGAGTTCGATATTCACATGAAGGTTCTTGCATTGCACGAGGGGGCTTGTTAGATATAAAACAATTTTACATCTCCACCTTACGACCTAAAGTTATTGAATGTATTAGTTATACATTTTGTTTTTGTTTTTGCTTCTGCTTTTTATTTTTTCTATTGTTTGTAATTTGGGGAGTATCACTGGCTTTACATGTATTGAAAGAATTGACTCCAGCAAAGAAATGTGCATGAATGCACAAAGACATGTATTGCTGGACTAGTGATATACTTGTATCATTGTATGTCAATTGCTCTTTGCCTAGACTCTAGGTATCAACACTATGTGGCATGTCATTGCCTACAATGTGACTAATCAATGATTGAATTAAGGCATCAAAACTGAATGCTCTGTCCTTGTAATTGAAAATTATTGGATTGCAAGACTGACAGCTTATCTTATGTTGAAATTATGTCCATGCATTTATATATTTCTTCAAGCCTTATGATTTGTTGGTGAAAACATTTGTAAGTGATTAGATAGCCCTATTGACTTCTCTATGGTGCTTTGTTCATTGTTTCTTTAATAAGTCCTGCAAGACGTTATGCAGTGGGGTTTGAAAGCTTTATTGCATTAATTAACTTGTTTACTTTTTTCTGTGTTTTTCCTTTGTTTAATTTAAAGATTTTTATTGTCCTTTCTCTTGTAGCCCTTCTTTTTTTTCTCCTCAGTAAAATGTAAATTATCTTTATCCCAAACAGATAATGGATGTTAGAGCATTTGGCGATTAAGTCCAACGACACACATTTTGCAAAAGTTGCTGTTTATCTCACGATTAATTTGAAAATCATCCTTCTTTTCACTCTCATATTGTTTCACAATTTTCATTACTTGTTTATATTATATCGCTTTCATGAGTTGTTTAATGTACTTACTATTTTTCATTCCTTTTAAACTGCACCCAGCTTTTTGGGTTCAAAAACCAGATTATTCTGAGGCTGCTTCGCCGACTAGTGGCAGATGTACATGGAATAGCTGAACGAAGCCCAGTATCCCAAAATGGGCTGCCATTGAATCATAATGACCTCTCTGGCAACAAGATAGGGAGAGTTGTACCTCTGGAGAGACAGACAGGGTTTCTCTACTCTGCAAGTTGCAAAACTACAGAAATAACTGAAAACTTGTCAACAGAAAAACCTGTAAGCATGTCCTTTTAAAATTCTACTGAATATTATTCATTGGAATTTGGAAACATGCTGGTTCTTAAATTATAGTCTATTGGATGTTTTTAGCTGGAACCTGTTCTTTTGGAAATTGTGATAATGTTGATAAAACTAGAGGGAAATTGTCACAAATCTTTGAAGTGCTCTATTTAATATCCCACTTGAGATAAATCAATTGAGATTTTGCAGAAATTTGTGACTCAATCAAGATTATGGTCCACTTTATTATAGAGGAAAAACCTTTTTAACTTCTTGCAGCTTCATAAGTCACATGACCAGGAGATGAAAATGTCAAGTTTGCTGGTGACAGCAGATGATGATAAAGTGATGCAGTCACGTTCTAGAGAGTCTCAGGGCTGTATTGGCATTGATCTTTGCGCTCCTGATACACAAGATTTGCAAGGTACTTATTATCTTTGTCACTCTGTGTTTGTATGGTACAAAGTATTCATCATTAATAACTTATAGTATCTGCGTCCTTTTACTCATACATTGATGAATTGAAAGATTTACCTTTTGGCTCGACATACTTCTAGTTATTCGAGTACAAGTTTTTGGATTTATACTGCTTATGTCTTTGGTAATATTGGATAGAGTAGTGTTCTTTGCAATTTTTTGGGATTTATAGTGCTTACAGCTTTTGCTTTTCTAATGTAGTTTCTATATGGAACATCGTTTTGTTAAAAAGTATGCAAAACCATCCGTATGCTTAGGATTTTGTATTTAGTTATTTGTATTTATTTTTCTACAACACTCTCCTTCAGTATCTAGTTTATCTCTCATATTTCTCTGCTCTACATTTTCCTGTTATTCTAGATTACTTACTCTAGTACAATGCAGAAAATATCCCTGATTATGTTCCAAGTAATCTTGATAAGAATAGTGACAGTGAGCCAACATGTGAGGCCATCTCTGAAGATTTGTTAAATTCAAAACATGAGGAAGTCCTAAAATCTGATTCAAATATAAGCCTGGAGAAAGATTATTTTAATTCAGCTGGCAAGGATGTGGCAAACTCAATGATGTCACTTCTGCTTCCTCAAGCAGTTCCCTTACTAATGAATAACTCAACAGATGAGAAGTTCACACTTATCCCTTCAGATATACTGCCTTCTAAAGAAGAACAAAATGAAGTTGGATGTGTTTTGGATGTGCCATCATCTGGTAAATATACCAATCGGTGCTATTTTAGTTTTTCTTGATTATTTGTTCTCAACGTCTGGCATAGATCAATACATCATGCTACAAAGGCTTTTGATGAAACACACTGTCTTTTAAATCTTCTCTTTGTTTTGTGTCCGTATGTTCTGTGTTTATGTTTTTATGTGCTTTGTTGAATCATGTGTTTATATGGCAGATAAAATGGTAACAGAGGATGCATATGAGGAACAAAATGGAAAGATACATAAGCCAGATGCTCACCCACATTCAAATTCTTCTAAAACTGATCACATGAAGTCTATTGTCCTTGATAGTTTTGAGTATAGTCAATGCGAGGATCTCAAAAACTCAGAAGTCTTATCTTTTGATATTACGGAAGTTGGTAGGTCTAGTTTCAGTAAAGAAATGTGTTGTGTGAAAAGTCAAGAACAGCTTTATGGTGATTTGCCGAAAGGACCATCCACATGCAGTGCTTCAGAGGTGGACTTTAAAAATAGGCCTCATGATTATGATTTATGTATTCCTGATTCTGTTCTGGATGACATGTCTCCTCCTGATGTACGTGTTTCTGATTCTGTTCTGGATGACATGTCTTCTCCCAATGTATGTGTTCCTGATTCTGATCTGGATGACATGTCTCCTCCTGATGTATATGTTCCTGATTCTGTTCTGGATGACATGTCTCCTCCCAACGTATGTATTCCTGATTCTGATCCGGACGAGTCTCCGGCACATGTTATTTTCAAATCAGTGCAAAGTGACCTTCCAGTTGCTCAGGATTTTACCGGAGGTAATGTGTTATGATGTTTTGCATCAAAATAAAAGTTCTTAAATTCTGATAATCATGATCAGAAGGGTCGAACTGTGTATCATAGTATAATTCTTCTGTCTGTTTTGAATTGAGATGCTTTTTGACTCCGTGTCAACCCATTTGCATGCCAATCCAACTTAATTATTGTTGCAAACTATTAACATACTTTTGTGCCTGGTCAAGAATGAAACTCAATGATTTGAAACTAAGGTTTCATTAGACTATTGTTCTGTTTGATCCAAACATCACCATTATTTACAATTTTTAAAAACAAAGCAGGTATTAGTAATGCATTCTCACTTGTTAAATCAAAGATTTGTCATTTAAAAAGCATGGAAACTATTGCAGAAAGGACGCAAGATGAAGCTGTTGGTAAAATAGGCAATGCTAAAACATTGGCGATATCTTCTTCTCAGTCACCAAATTTTGTATACACCAGAAGAAAGAGGCAAAATTCTGTTACCCTTCAAAGAAATTGTTCCGCTGTGGAGAGTACAGAATGTGACAAGACTGAACTAGTTACTCCTCAAATGCATACTGCCTGCGACAGTGTCCCTCCATCAAAAACCATTCAAACAAAAAATGATAAACTATGCAATCCAGATGATTATGCAGGTTTAATATTAGAAAAACCTGAAGTTCATAGTGATGTTCCAGATGTGCAAAACAACCTAGCAAAATTAAACCTTTCATCTCAAAATCCAAACCCATTTTCCCGTGAAAATAAGTGCTCTGGTGGCAAGGAGGCTCAATTTATTTCAGAACCAATGGTCCAAAGAAATCAGGAACTCAAGAATAATCTGAACGGCAAAGTAAAATTTGTGGGGCGCTACATGCACCCAATGCCTGTTTCATCATTACTTTTAAAAACAGTTGAAGATGAAATCCACATTTGTGTTTTATGCGGCCTTCTGACAGATCAGCACAGAACTCTGTTTACCTACAAGGTAGCTATCAAGGAACCAAATTTTGGTTGCCCCTCTGTCATGGCTCACACCTCGATAATGTTGCCAGATCCATATAACTTCATGAGAGAAGTAAGTTACTTTTTTTTTCTTTCTGCCTTGAAACCCTTCTTTTTCCTAATTTACATTTTACCCAAACTTTTGGCTACATAAATGCTTACTTTCAAAATGTATCACATTGTTTGCTAGACTATTGTGGAAAGGACTGGGGTGGAGTTGACTCCTGATGGACAGTTTATTGTCTTAATAGGCAGCATAAAAACCCCCAATTGCAGGTTAACCGCTTCTACATGTTGGAATTGATATGTAATAAATTGGAACCATATAGATAGAGTAACTAAATATTATTTTATCCCAGGGAAAGACAAATTGATTGTTGTTGCTCAACGTGCACTTCATTCAGCTCGAAGAATGGTTTGAAGATTGTTCATGTAGAAAGTGGTTATGCATCAGTTGTGGCAACACTGGAAGCTGTTGAAGACTTGCATTGTATTTTGGTTTGTGAACCTAACCGACTTGTTTCTGTTGGAGGGAGTGGGAGTATACAAGTGTGGGTCATGAATTCAACATGGAGGTGATTGTAATGCATTCTCTTTGATTTTTCTTTCCCCTTTATGACAATAATGTTCTTTTCAGAATGATATCTCTGAAAAGTTTTTTATATGTAGTGAATTTGATTGTTACACATAATCCTAGGTTTCTTATGTGTTTGCATTTATAGTAGAGACCATGGATATATGATCATGAAGTACTTGTGCTTTTCATAGCAAATCTCCATGAAAATTGGGGAAACTTTGTTACTTGGATATTATGACCAATTGTTTCTAGGTTAAAAGCTTCCCGAATTTCATTGTATTTAATTTGTTCTTACTATAAGAGCTTAGATTCTATCATTGTCTTACAAACTACTTTTGCTGCTAGTGTAGTTGATGAGTTAGGCCATTGTAATTGTAAAAAAAACTGTATTGTTTACCTTCAATGTTTATAATTTATTTGTTGCTAGTGTTATTAAATATTTTATTTGTAATTAATTTGTTGCAAGTGTTATTAAATATTTATATTTATTGGTTGTGGTCAGACAACTTAGCTTCTTCACCCCTTTATTAACCTTTTTGCAGTGAAAAGATAGAGCATTCACCCCTTTATTAACCTTTTTGCAGTGAAAAGATAGAGCACTTCATCATTCCGTCTGTTGGTTCCATGTCCCCTGGCATTGTGGAATTGAAGAGGGTCCCCAAGTGTGCTCATTTGGTTGTAGGTCGAAACGTTTATGGGGATTTTAGTTTATGGTATGTTATCTTTATTTACCATGAAGGAATATCCTATTATACTATCATCATTCTAATTATTTTAAACATTTAATTTGACCACAGTTGGTTTATATTAGTCTTGTTTAGTATTAGAGTGTATTCTGTATTTAGACTAAAAGTAGGTAACTGGCCACTGCCAGTCATAGTCTAGTGTCACCTAGCATAGCCGGTCACCTTGATACTATATAAGTAACAAGGTGTAACTTCAATATAACTAACTTGTAATCAAAACAAAATTCTGTTACAGCAATGAAAGCTTTACTCTCTCTCTAGCATAGTTTATAACACGGTATCAGTTTAAGCCTCTTGATCCTTCGCTGCGATGGAGCAACCACAGTCTTCGGAGTCTTCGCCGGCGGCCTCTGTTCATCTCTCCGGTGCGAACACGCTCGAAATGTCAAAATCCACTGACGATGTGCATCGTTTCCAGTTCACGCTCAAGATCGCACACAAACTGGACGAGAAGAATTTCCATCTATGGCGGCAACAGATCGAGCCGTACATCAACGCACGCAACCTCACTGAGTTCGTCGTCTGCTCGCGTATTCCACCTCAGTTTGTGGATGATGAAGCTCGTAACTCAGGTACTGTTAATCCTACATACACTCGCTAGTTGCAAAAGGACCAGTTGTTGTTATCGTGGCTCTAATTCACGTTATCGAATGAGATCCTCTCACGAGTTCTTGGATGCACTCATGCTCATGAACTCTGGGGTTGTCTTTTCAACTATTTTCAGAAACAAACTCGCGCTCGAGCTAGACAACTTCGTGTTGAGCTTCGTGCCCTAACTCTTGCTGATTCTACTGTTCATGACTATTTACTCAAGATTTGCAATATTGTTGATGCTCTAGCCTCAATTGGTGATCCAATTCCAGTTTCACACCACATTGATGTTATCTTGGAAGGTTTATCAATTGAATATGCTCCGGTAGTGTCTGTCGTGGAGAGTAAATTTGGTGTATCTTGATGAAGTGGAGATTCTTTTGCTTGCTCATGAATTGCGTCAAAATAGGTTTAAGAAGCAGTCAACACCAGATCTGATGTCTCTGAATCTCACACATGCTGCTTCTACTGGCTCCAATCATGAGGATACAACTTTTGATGCACTAGACTCTGTACCTCCACCAGTTGCTCAGAATTCTGACACTGACACTCAGCAATTTCGTGGAGGTAGAACTTCAAGAGGTGGTCGCTTAGGTCGTGGTAGAGGTGGCAGGTCCTCAGTGCAGTGTCAAGTGTGCTCTAAGGTTGGACATTCTGCACTCAACTGCTGGCATAGATTTAATTAGCAGTTTCAGTCGACAACTAACTTTGTGCCAACATATGCTCCTCAGCCTTGGACTGCTTCACCTACACCTTATGCTTTGCAGCCTGCCAATGTTTGGACCAGACCTCCCTCCAACAGCAGAGCTATTCCTCAGCTCACTCTACCTAGTGCTTTAGTTGCAAATTCTCAGCCTGCAGTTGTTCCAAGTGCTTCCTGGTATCCTGACTCAGGAGCATCATATCATGTTGCTAATGATTCAAGGAATGTGTAGTAAGTGACACCATATGAAGGTCCTAATCAGATCTTCATGGGTAATGGTCAAGGTTTTGAAGGTGTGAGAAAACACAAGAAAGGGGGGGTTTGAATTGGGTTTTCAAAAATGAAAGCTTTTTGTGAAACTCAAACAAAGATCATAAATAGATTAATCAAGTAAAAAAGACACACGATATATCCTGGTTCGCTTGAAAACTATCAAGCTAATCCAGTCCACCTGCCAAGGTGATTTCGCCTTATACACAAGGACTTAATCCACTATAATCAACTGATTACATTGGACTAGCAATCGCTGGTGACTAACAACACAGACAACTGTTTCTTCTTAAGGATTCTGACCCAACTGGTCCCTTAAGGAATTACAATTTGCACGAGCAACCGCTGGTGACTAACAACAAAGACTAACCGTCTCTTCTTAAGGATTCTGACCCAACTGGTCCCTTGAGGAATTACAAACAACAGTTTGAACAAAGATGTTCACAATGAGATTGCTTCTACATAAGTAGATATAAACACTATTAATAACTCAAATGTCTTAAAGACACTAATACAATATGAACAAAATTCTTTCTTTGTATTGCGGTACTTCAATACTGTAGCTTCAGTTCTTCATGGATTGCTTCCAATCAAAGTGTAATCTTTGTATTAATCGTTGTAAAGCTTCTTAATTTTTTCAAGTAATCAAGTCCTTATATAGCCAGAAAAAGATCCGTTGGAGGGCAGATTAGGAATATCCTTTAGGTAGCTGGCGACTTGAAATAATGTTGTTACGCAGGGATGAAAATCGTACACAAAAGTTGTCATTTGTACCACCAAATCAGGGTAGTGGAATGGTAATGGAATGAGACGTTGAAACGTACTATGTACTATTTTCCCTCGTAAACGTTTGAGCTTTTCTTTACATCAAAGGCTTTTGAATAGAGATGATTGAAGCATGAGTAGAAGAGTTGATCACTAGGTCTTCAGAACTTGTTCACCAGAATCTTGTCTTCAGAACTATAAGCACTCAGTCTTCAGAACCTTTGGTCACTAGTAACTTAAGTCTTCAGAACGTCGTTCAACAGAACTTTGCTTTCAGAGTCTTCAACACTTATTCTTCAGAAACTCAAGTCTTCAGAGTCTTCAGAACATCTTTCAACAGAACCTTGTCTTCAGAGTCTTCAACACTTAGTCTTCAGAAGATAATGACTTTAGGAGCTAGAAAGCCTTCGGAAGTAAAATATCAAAGTCATGATCAGAGGCAGAAACCAAGAGAGCATTGCAGCAACAACATATTGTCTTCTTAAAATCTTTCTGAATGAGAGTAGATTAGAAGCAGACTTGCTTCTTATAGCGCACAAGCGACTTTGGTCAGATCAGAGTAATCGTTGAATATGATCTCTATCAGAGTAAGAACTTTCTCTATCAGAGTCAGAACCTGTTTGTTAATTCTTCAGAAAAACAAACGTTAGAATGCCAAAATTGTTCTCACACAAATACTACTTTGTTATTATCAAAACTTAGAGATATCTTGCAGAACCAAATCTTGTTCTAACAGGTTTGCCCATTAATTCCACTGGTTCTAGCACTTTTCTGTCTAACACACACCCATACACATCTCTTACCTTGAATAAACTCTTACTTATTCCCTCCATTACAAAGAATCTTATCAGTGTTAGTCAATTTTGTCGTGATTATGAAGTATATTTTCTGTTTACATCTGATAAGTGCCTTGTCAAATCTCAGGCTACACATGAGGTGGTACTTGAAGGTGCTGTTGGAACTGATGGATTGTATGAGTTCACTTCACACAACTTCTCCAGCTCATGTTCCAAGACTGCTGTCAACTCTGTGTGTTCTACTACTTTGTTACCTAATATTAATACTACTGTTGCTCATGTTAGTCCTACTGTCATGTGGCACCTAAGGCTAGGACATCCTAATAAACATGCTTTTAAGCTTGTACTTCAAAGTTGTAATGTTATTTTACATTATAAAGAAACTGATTTCTTATGCTCAGCCTGCTGTATGGGTAAATCTTACAAAATTCCCTCTTCACCTTCACACACAACACACTCCGCACCTTTGGAACTGATTTATGGGGATCTATGGGGGCCATCTCCCAATGCATCTACTCTAGGCCACAAGTACTACATGTCCTTCGTAGATGCCTATACTAAATTTATTTGGATTTACTTCCTTAAAAACAAGTCTGAAGCTCTAGCTACATTTAGACAGTTCAAAACATTGATGGACTTGCAGTTTGGCAAGCCTACTAAGGCCTTTCAGTCTGACTGGGGTGGGGAATTTAGGCCATTTAACAAATTCTTGGCTGAGTTAGGTATTTTGCACTGGGTTATCTGCCGTCACACACACCATCAAAATGGTGTTATAGAGAGGAAGCATATGCATATTGTGGAAACAGGGCTCACATTGCTAAGCCAAGCTTCACTGCCCTAACTTGCCCTTAACTTACTGAGACTTTGCCTTTCCTACAACTGTTTATCTTATCAATAGACTTCCTTCTGCTTCAATACAATTCCAGGTCCCCTATTCCTTGTTGTTTAACACCAGCCCTGACTACACTTTTCTCAAAGTGTTTGGCTGTTCCTGCTTCCCACTCTTAAGACCCTATTCTAGCCACAAACTTGATTTTAGGTCTCAAGAGTGTGTCTTCCTTGGATATTCCACTTCTCACAAAGGATACAGATGTCTAGCACCTAGTGGTAGACTTTTTATCTCCAAAGATGTGCTATTCCATGAGTCCAGATTTCCATATGTTGAACTATTTCCATCCCCTATTTCAACTCATACTTTAAATTCTTCTTCATGTGTCTCTCTTTCTCCTCTGCCTCTTACATTCCCACCTTTTTCTTCTCCTAATTCTAATTCAGTCTCCTCTTCCTCTAAGCCTCTTTCTTCATCCTCTATTCATTCTGGATTGCCTGTGGCTACTAACAATCTTAATGATGTCAGTGCTTTAACACTACTAGACCTTCTACCTCTTCTTTTACACTCCCACCTTGCAGGTCTCATGTCTCTGAATCCACTGCCTCTGCTTCTTCTACTTCACACCTTTCTACATCTGATCTGTCTTCATCTGCTTCAACTGCATCAGACCCTCCTAGCTCCAGTCAATCTGAAGCTTCTCCAGCTAATGCTATTCCTCCCAAGGCAGTTCCAGTTGCTGCTATTTCTGTTAATAGTCATGCTATGAAGACAAGGACTAAGTCAGGTTTTTCTCAACCCAGACTTGAACCCAAGTTGTTACTCACACTGTCTGAACCCAAAACATTAAACATGCTCTCTCTGATGTACAGTGGAAAGCAGCAATGCAAGCAGAATATGATGCTCTTATGAATAACAACATATGGACCTTGGTTCCTCTCCCATCTCAAAGGCAGGCTATAGGCAGCAAGTGGGTGTTTAGAATTAAGGAGAATCCTGATGGCACAGTTAATAAGTATAAGGCCAGACTTGTGGCTAAAAGCTTTCATCAAAGAGAGGGGTTTGATTTTTATGAAACTTTCTCTCCAGTTGTGAAACCTATCACCATTAGGCTGATCTTATCTATTGCTCTCACTCATAACTGGACCATACAACAATTGGATGTGAACAATGCATTCTTTAATGGGATGTTAGATGGGAAAGTCTACATGCTTCAACCTAAAGGCTTTGAAAGTGGTAATCCTAATCTAGTCTGCAAACTCAATAAGGCCATCTATGGCCTTAAGCAAACTCCTAGACAATGGTTTGAAAGGCTTCAAGCCGCCTTGGTGCAACTCAACTTTCAGCCTAGCAAGTGTGACCCTTCCTTGTTCATTTACTTCTCTCAAGGGCACACAGTCTATCTCCTGGTCTATGTAGATGATATTATCATCACTGACAGCTCAGTTGCTCTTGTGCAATACATCATCTCCAAACTGAATATGGTTTTTTCTCTCAAACACTTGGGAGACCTAGACTATTTTCTTGGTATTGAAGTCAAGAGACTCCCTTCTCAGTCCTTGCTTGTCACTAAGACAAAATATATCAAAGATCTTCTTCTCAAAACCAACATGCTTGACTCTATACCAGTCAGCACACCTATGCAGCCTACTTGCAAACTCACCAAGACAGGTTTTCCTCTACTGCCTGATCCCTTCATGTATAGGTCTGTTGTTGGAGCTCTGCAATATGCAGCTCTAACAAGGCCTGACATTGCCTATTTAGTGAACAAAGTTTGCCAGTTCATATCCCATCCCTTGGAGGTACACTGAGTTGCTGCGAAAAGAATCTTGAGGTACCTCAAAGGCACTCTCTCCCCTGGTCTGCAACTTCTCCCCTTACCTCTTACTACTGCTCTAGCCATTCAGGTTTTTTGTGATGCAGATTGGGCATCTGATCCTGATGACAGGAGAAGCACCTCAGATGCTGCTATTTACTTTGGTCCCAACCTCATTTCATGGTGGTCCAAAAAGCAGCCTGTTGTGGCCAGGTCCAGCACTGAGTCTGAATTCAGAAGTCTTGCTCAAGCTACTGCTGATCTTCTCTGGTATTAGAGTGTATTCTGTATTTAGACTAAAAGTAGGTAACTGGCAACTGCCAGTCATAGTCTAGTGTCACTTAGCATAGCCAGTCACCTTGTTACTATATAAGTAATAAGATGTAACTTCAATGTAACTAACTTGTAATCAAAACAAAATTCTGTTGCTGCAATGAAAAACTTTACTCTCTCTCTAGCATAGTTTCTAACATTTAGGAATGTTCTGAGGATTTTACATTATTACGAAGCAAGAACTAATGTTCTGGCCATAATCAACATAATTTACTAGATTGAATAGGATCCAGTAATTGGTATCTGGGTACCATTTCACTGTACTGTCATGAATTGGTTGGCCAGAACTTGGGTATAAATTTATTGAAAGCATCAAACCCAATAGAAAAAACAGACTCCCATTTAAATGAGAATGGGAATCGTTCAAATTAAAAAAGGATCATCATAGGCTGCTATAGATAGCACTATCTTCAATTCATGACTACATTTATAGTTACTATCTTCAATCCTAATCTGGGATCATCATAGGCCGCTATAGATAGCACTATCTTCAATTCATGACTACATTTATAGTTACTATCTTCAATCCTAATCTGCAATGTACTGTGTCATACACTACTTATTTAAAATTAACACCCTTCTAGTGTTTTAGACATTTTCCAACTACTTTTTACTTGTGGGTTTGAAACAATGGATCTAGCCAACTACTTTTTACTTGTGGGTTTGAAACAATGGATCTAGGATATGCTCTGATACCATCTTAGAGTTTGGGTTAGGCCTAACTCATACCTACAAAACCGGCCTATAGGATGAGGATTGCCCCCACTTATAAACACAACACAAGCCATATCTCAATGTGGGACTAAATCCACCCCTTCAAAGACAATGAAGGTGTTAGGGGCTGTAATGAAGGCAAACCAAAGTGCCGCAATTAAGGTGACTAGGGGCAGACCGCAATTAAGGCTGGGATTCCAACAAAATGAATCAATCATTTTGAAACTATTTGTTTTTACACATAGGTCAGTTATTTTGAGACGGAGAGAGTAGTATTTTTCCTATAAAGCAACATAGACAATTACTAACATCAAAATGTTTCAAGACTTCTATTTTCATCTTTTAATATTTTAAGTTAATTTTTTTTTGACATTTATATCTTATTAGCATGGACTTCATTGTTTTAAACTAGATTAGATAAAAAAATTAGTAGTGTTAAGAGTCCTACATCAGACAATATATGGCATGAACATGTGTTTATAAGTGGGGGCAATACTCACTCTACCAACCGGTTTTGTAGGGTTGAGTTAGGCTCAACCACATTTCTTAACATGGTATCAGAGCCTCGTTTAAGATCCGGTGGGCCACCTTTTATGGTTTCCGCTATTGGGCCACCTACCATTTATTTCCACGCTTCAGTTGTCCAGTCTTGAGCATGAGGGGGTGTGTTAAGAGTCCCACATCGGACAATATATGGCATGAACATGTGTTTATAAGTGGGGGCAATCCTCACTCTACCAATCGGTTTTGTAGGGTTGAGTTAGGCCCAACCACATTTCTTAACAGGTAGCATTATGATAAAGATATTAGAATGTACCACAAGCCCAAATAGCAAAGTTGGGAGTTTTCTCACACATACCCATACATCCATATTACAATTTTATGAGACCTTGGTTTTTTCAATCATATGTATTTTTTTATTAATTTGCTTGCATTTTGTCTTAAAATCTATTTTATACAAGTCACAGGTTCATCGGAGGAATATGAAGAACATGTGTTGCCCTTTCCTTCTGTAAATCTTGAACAGACCAAGGCTCCTAATTTGATCTTTATCTGTTTCAGAATTGAGGAAATGTCACTGCTGGCTTTAATGCCACATTTTCATTCCCTCATTTCAACTTCTCTTCAAATTTCTTATTGAAAGTAACCTCTAACCTAGCCCAACAGTTGTTAAAAATAAGAAGGGGATAGGAGAAGTAATCAGAAAAAATGTTACTAATTTTTAATTTGGCTGTTCAGTTATAATGATATCTCATTTACATGATTTTCAATGTTTTCCTCAGGGATATTACAAAACTCAATTGTGTTTCAAGCTTCTCTGCTTCAAAATATCCAATTAATGAGTTCTTTCCAATAAGCTTGTTCCATCTGCAAACAAAAGGCTTGGGATTGAGCTATGCTAGCACAGAGGAGAAGGCTGAAAAACTTTTAGAAGCATCCAATTTCTGGCACTCGAAACAAAGAGAGACCTGTGTGTATCTACCAACCAAAGATATTGCTATGTGGCTTCTTGTCTCGACTCCCTCGGACTTTGATTGTTGCCAGGATCATGTTTCAACTTCAATTCATCATGATGTACATACAGCTAGAAGTTGGAGGCTTGCTCTTTTGATGGAAAATAGCATTGTTTTCGGAAGTCCCTTGGATTCTAGGTGCCATATGATGTTTCCTGAGTTTAATATAGTCTGTCGTATTTTGTTTGAGTTTTTATATAGCAATAACAAAGTACATCTTAAGAACTACTGATGATATGTACTCTATTTAAAGCTGCTTATTCTACATCGCTATATTGATCACTTTTTGACATATCAACTCTAAGCAGGACAACTGCTGTTGGTGTCTCTGGTGGTTATGGAATCATCAGCACAAGTGATGGTGTGATATATATGTGGGATTTGTCTAGAGGGTCCAAGCTTGATACACTGCACCATTTCCAGGGTATGTCGCAAGGTTACACTTTATGCTCTAGTCACATTGCACTGAACACTAATACAGAAGCACTAATGATATTGATTTATTTCTTTTATTAACAAATGTTAGTTGGTAGTAAAGTCTGATTGTAGATCACCAGATTTCTTACTTGTTTTCTGTCCTAACCAAGTTTGGGGTCCTAAGCTCCTTAAAAGTACACCTGTAAACTAGTTAATATTCTTCCTGAAACATCTGCTCACATAATAGTTGTTTCCTTATGTCAAAATCATTCCTCATGGTTGTTTCCTTATATAATAATAATAATCAAAATTATTGTTTATGTACTATGCTGTGTCATATTTTGACATACGGTTTCTATAAATGTTATTTTAGATGACAGTATCACAAGTATTGTTACGGATGATTGTAATTCAAATTCAACAAGTGTTATGGGTGTCGCTGGGGGAGGAGGCCAACTGCTGCTTTATTTACATCTTCGTGATCGGGACTCAAATGAGTAGAGAGACAATGTAAGCCTTCAAGCTTGTAAAGAAATTATTAGAGTTACATTTAATGCACTTAATGGTGCTTTAAAAATTCCTATTAGTGTTTCATATACCATTCTCATCCAAAACCCAGGGATTCCAATTTCAGTCTAGAAACAAACTAGAATTTCAATGCACTGTCATCTAAATTACACAGCGGTAATGTGTTTTGATTATCAAACTGCGGCTTGAATCTAGTTTGTATCAGAATACAATTGAAATAGCTAAATTGTTGTAAAAATGTTTTGATCCAATGTAATATAATTACATAGATAACATGACTTCTCTTTTCTCTGGGTTTAAGGTGAACTAGCTTTGGCTCTGACAACTCTGAAAATAGCAGGTGTTTTGATCACCAGTTTCAGGTTTTTTTTATCCCAATACGTCATTTTAAAACAAATAATACCAATATACCCTATGCTGAAAAAAAATAATACAACTGCTCTACATTAAAAACTTGTTTGTCCACTGAAGTGGTGAGCAGCTGAAGAAAATGTTGGCTACGTAGGTGCTTGCCTAATAAGATGGCGAACACGTGAAGGATGTTTTTTTTTGTTTTCTTATTTTATTTTATTTATTTAATTAAATCTTTAATTATTTTAATAATAAAAATCATATTATAAAATATGTTATACTAATTTAATAATAAAATATTAATGAATAATATATTATAATAAATAAAAAATATTATACTTTATTAATTTAATAAATCAATACTAATTAAAATTACATTATAAGATTAAAATATATTATGCTGTTTTAATATAATAATTAAATAAAAATTAAAAATGTATCATAATAATAAATAAAAATTTGTTGTATTAATTAAATACAACAATAAAATATATTAAACAATAATATATATTACATATACATTTGATAAAAAATAGTCCCCAGTTTCACACCTAGTGGTCCTTTTTTGTTGATATCCTCTGCACAAACGTTCATTTGCATTTGTTGTAGGTGATTGAGATGAGTCGGAAGACATATCTTCATTGTGATGTGCTGTAGGGTTTCACACCTAGTGGTCCTTTTCTGTCGATATCCCCTGCACAAACGTTCATTTGCATTTGTTGTAGGTGATTGAGATGAGTCGGAAGACATATCTTCATTGTGATGTGCTGTAGGGGGTCTGCTTGCCTTGAAGGGGGTTTTGCTTGTGTTGATGGTGGCTCAACGAGAATATCATCAATGTTAAAATCTGGCATTTGCATCAGTTGATCCTCTGTTAGCAAAAAAATTTGGAATGATTGTGATGGTTGCAGTAGGTTTCGGGTTGGGTTTGTTAGAGGTTGGGTAATAGACGTCATCAGGCGTGTAGGTGGAGGTGGGTTGAGAGAATGAAGTGTTGAAGGTTTAATATTGAAATTGAGGGTTTGTCTGATTAAGGTTGGGCGGTGGAACTAGAGTGAACTGTAAGGGTGGTCGAAGGTAGGGTTGGGGTTGATATTGTTGGTTGTAGTTGTAGTCCCAAATTGAGATGTGTAGTTTGGTGGCACATCTTGATGCATTGATGCAGCAGTTGGTTGTAGTCCCAAGAGACACAGTCACACCGGTATGGAATGAGCCAAACATCCGACGATGAACCAACACAAAACAACCAACCTTTCATACCAAATGAAGAGGTTGGAGAAGCAAGCAATGATGATCTTCAGGAGGTCAGGATGTAAGATATTTTTGGTGACAACGATGACGAAGACAATGAAGATATAGTTGTCGCGCCTACGCAGCCGATTCACGCACAACCAATAAGTTTGTACAACCCACCTGCACATATGCAAAATATATGTTTGGAATATGATGAGACAACCTCCGTGTTTGGAAGTGTCATACCAAACCATATAGGTGAAGAAATAGAGATTGGGATGGAGTTTGAAAACAAGGAAGCTTGCGTTTTCGCTCTGCAACATTGGCACATAACACACAGTGTTGACTATTGGGTTTATTAATCTGACAATGAACGATATGTAATTAAGTGTAAGAAACAAGACTGCAATTTCAAGTGCATAGCTTCCTTGAGAAAAAGGAACTCAAAATGGGTGATCGGTAAGCTGTCTGGGCCTCACACATGCACTACCACGCCTATGACACAAGACCATAGGAAGCTCAGTTCAGAAATGATTAGCCATAACATCAGAGAACTTGTCAACCAAGACGCCTCACTTAAGGTGATCATTGCCCATATTCTTGAAAAGTACAGGTACATAATATCTTACAGGAAAACATGGATCGCCAAGTGTAAGGCCACAGAGTCGCTCTATGGAAATTGGGAAACATCTTACAACGACCTACCACAATGGATACCGGTAATGAAAACCTACCTTCCAAGAACCATTATAGATTTGCAAACCCTACTTGCAATTTCAAATGATGGTTCCCAAATCTCTGGAAAACGAATATTCCATCGTCTGTTTTGGCATTTCGTCCGTGTATACGTGGCTTCGCCTACTGTAAGCCCATTGTGCAAGTAGACGGAACTTGGTTGTATGGCAAGTACAGAGGAACTCTATTGATGGCGGTGACACAGGATGGTAACGCAAATATTTTCCCAATAACATTCACATTGGTCGAAGGTGAAACAAAGGAAGCATAAAGCTTTTTTCTAAGGAACCTGAGATTACACGTAACACCACAACCTAATTTGTGCCTAATCTCTGACAGACATGAATCGATAAAGAGTGCATATAACAATCCCGAAAACAGATGACAACATCCACCATCTTCACATGTCTACTGCGTTAGACACATTGCTCAGAGCTTCATGCGCGAGATTAAGGACAAGGATCTACGCAAAAAAACTTGTTAACATGGGTAACAGAATACATTTCACTTATCTCAAGTATTGTATCACACTTTTATTATGTTTTTCACACAACTTCTATTACAGGTTACGCATTAACGGAGGCTACATTTAACTACTATCGTAGAGAAATCAGAAGAACAAACGTTGAGGCTTCAAATTGGATAGACAACATACCTAGAGAGAAGTAGGCTAGAGCATTTGACGGAGGACAACGTTGGGGACATATGACATCTAACTTGGCAGAGGCCATAAACTTTGTACTAAAGGCAACTAGAAACCTTCCAATAACTGCTTTGGTCCAGTCTACATACTATCAAATGAGTTCACTCTTTGGTAAACGAAGACACAAATGGACCAAAATGCTAGCTACAGGGAAAGTTTTCACAGATGGTTGTAACAAGGGAATGGTTGATGAGGTAGCCAAAGCTAACACACACAATGTCATGCAATTTGATCGCGAAAGATTCTGTTTCATGGTGTAGGAAAAAATTAATCAAAACGATGGTCGTCCAATGGGTACTTTCAGTGTTGACCTGAGGAATCGTTTGTGTGACTGTGGAAAATTTCAAGCATTTCACTTGCCTTGCTCCCACGTGATCGCAACATGTTCTACCATACGACAAGACTACACAATTCACATTGCAGAGGTCTTCACAGTACTTAACGTATTCAAAGTCTACAAAGAAAGCTTCCTGGGACTACCGCACGAGGAGAACTGGCCAAAATATGAAGGTTTTACTCTATGCCACGACGATTCCATGAGAAGTAATAAAAATGGACGTCCAACTAGTAGTAGAATTAGAACTGAGATGAACGACGCTGAAAAAGAAAAGAGAAGGTGTGGGATTTGCAGAGAAATAGATCATATGCGTAGAAAATATCCTAATGTTGCCGGCCCGTCAAACCGACCGCCTAGATAATTTTATATATTTTGCTCGCACTAGTTTTCTATGTGATCCAACATTTATTTGTAATTCAAGACAACTTTCAAATTACAGCAATACTAGCAAATTACAACCATAAAGTTAAAAATAAAACTCAGGAAGCTAACATACACGCTAACCAACACAAGTGGATCTACGACTCCTCTGTTAACTTTGTCACTATGTGCTGAAAACATGCATTGGACATCTTCATCATTTTCTATACGATCCAAGTAATACATGTACGTACCCTCCGGGCTAGCATCAGTCAGTGTTATATATGGACAACGATACTTCATTTTTCTCACCGTCATGCGACGACCGCCAACTGCCGAAACCCCTTGTTAATTGCTGTAACCACGATTCTGAAATTCCACTACGGATCTAGGTAAACACTGATTTTTTTTGTCCATAAAAAACAAAAGTCCGGACAAACATTTTTAAAACATGGATCACTAGACACGAATGATATGTGCTGATGCGCAATACGTCTATTTATAAAAAAAAGTTACGTTTGAACTTGGTCATTCAATGATCGAGACTCTGTAAAAACTTTACACCTTCATGGACGAACATCAGTCATTCTTTTTTAATACATGACAGAAAGAAAAATTAAATTATTATATCATTCACATTTTTTTTCATTTAATATAACATAATATAATTAAGTTAATATAATATATAATATATAAAAACTCTAAAAAATTTATTTATAATTAAATTAAATATAGAATTAAACACTCTTTATAATAAATATATAATTAAAAATATAACTAAAAGTAATATAATTAAAAATATAACTAAAAATAATATAATTAAATATATAATTAATATAATAATATAATTAAATATAACTAAAAATTAAATAAAAAAAACAAAAAAAAACATCCTTCACGTGCTCGCCATCTCACTGGGCGAGCACCTACGTAGCCAGCATTTTCTTCAGCTGCTTGCCACTTCAGTGGACGAGCAGGTTCTTAATGTAGGACAATTGTGTTATTTTTTTTCAACATAGGGTATATTGATATTATTTGTTTCAAAATGGGGTATTGGGGTAAAAAAACCCCAATTTCGAGCCTGTTTTTTGGAATTTCTGTTTCATTAACTGCTCCTTCTCAGACAGGACACCTGCTTTCTTTTTTTTAGTGGTTTACGATTAGATGGTCAAAGCTCTCACCTTTTTTTTCAAATCAAAGAAAAAAAACCTAAAGGATAAAGAAGTTAGAGGTTATGTCTTCAATCTAGAAAAAAAATTAATAATTTGTCATTAAAAATGTTTTGATCCCGTGTCCATTAAGTTATTAAAAATATATATAATTTAATTGAACTTAATTGAGTGTAGAGAAGTTTTAAACTATTAGTAAATCATAACCGTTAAATTTTTATAGGTGTTTGACTTTTTCTTTAATCATATATATAAAATATCACTTGTGAATGATTATAACGTACTAACCGTGTAAAATATTTTACATTGACAACTTGAATTTTTATAGTCAACTTGAATTTGATGGTTTTCATCCATTTTTATACCCTGCCTTACTTTTGTTGAAGCACTCATTCTTTTGCTGAACTTACATTCTATATACCATGCCTTACTTTTACTTAGGTGAAAGTCATGTATTTCTAATGTTTGCCTCTAAGTCTCAGACCTCATTTAAATCTCCATTTGAGTCTCCAAGTAATACTATATTATATGCAAAAAAAAAACATATATATATTGATGCTAGCTATTGGATGTATTCATTGAATACATCTAAAATTAAAGCAAAAAGGTAGGGAGTTAGGTGCTAGACGTTAGACACAAAAAGGTAAAATAAAAAGAACAAAATGATTCGAGTCAAAATGCATGGTTATGATTTAAATCAAAAGAAAGAAGGGCTAGAATCAAGGTAGTAAAATAAGGAGGTTGGCAATTTGATTAATATTCATGATTTGAGTGTTTGCATGAGATTTCCGGCGAACAATCTCTAGCCTCTTATTAAAGTCTACGTGCATGATCAATTACAAGAATCCTAAACTATGTGTTAAATATATGTTGACGTTTGAGTTCTTAGGTTTGAAAAGGTAGATGATGTGATTGCAAAGGTTGAATTAAATTAATAAAGGAAAAAGTACAACCGAACGGTGGAAACAGGGAACCAAACAAAAAGAAAAATATAAGACTAGTAAAGTAAACTGCTTAAGTATAAAAGTGGACGCATGTATACATTTGCAGAGTTTTGACTCGTTTCTCTCACACTGGTACTTTGGGTATGTTCTCCCAATGCAACAAAATGCGACCCCTAGAACTGAAAATGACACTTCCTTAAATAGGCTAAAAAGTGACTGTTATTCTTCTGTTCACCTGGTCTGCCACATGTCCACCCACGTACGTCCACTACCTTGGTAACTTCCCACATTTTCGTCTGTTGCAAGCTTGCTTGTTCGCCTGAATCTTTTGGTCTTCCTTCGACTTCGACTGAGATGTCTATCTATTGAGTCTACTTCAATGTTCTATCGACGAGTTTATTCCAAATGTCTCGTCGACCCGAATTCTACTCCCTTGGTCGAAATTTGCCAACCAACAAATTGCCCCCCCTAAAAGGCCAGCTTCGACTGAGGTTTTTCTTCGACCGAAAAACTCTTTATTTGAGCAACTCGTTTTGACCAAGATCTTATTCAAGACGACAAATGACAATCTCCTCAAGACAGTTTGTCCACCCCCAATGATTATCGACTTGGTAAATGGAAAACCTTATAAATGTTTCTCTTTATTTGAGAATTCTCACATTTTTACAACAACTAGGATGCTCCTCAGGAATGTATTCCCCAACGAGTTCATCACACAAGTTATTTCCATCAAGCGACATCTCCCCAGAGAAGTTGAGGAAGTTTATCACATTAGTCTCTCTTTATTTGAGAAGACATACTTTATAATTCAACCGGCTCACATCTCTCCTGAAGACCCCCGATGAAGTTTTGCAAACTCCAATACATTATAGCTTACAACCGAAGTTCTACAATGACATTTACGATCTACAAAATCTACGATCCCCTGCGAAGATGCTCTCAAGAGTTTTCATCATTTCGGGTAGAGACTGATACCAGCTCATGGCACCCAGACCATGACGCTCGGGGAGGTTCATAAAGAGACTGAGACCAACTCATGACACCCAGACCATGACGCTCGGGGAGGTTTTGTCTAAACTATTTTCAAACGAAATACTCAATTTATTCAAAGATATTTTTATTTCCTGGTAAATCTCGACAGTAGATTACCAGTAGACCTCGGCAGTAGGTATTTCAATTTCGTTTCCTGGCTAATCTCGACAGTAGATTTCCAGAAGATTTCGTCAGAAATATGTCTCCAGCAAACTTCAACATAGAATCTCGACAGCAGATTCCTTAAATTTTTACAGTAGATACTTTGGCCAAAAGTATTCTCGATTCAAATTTACAAGTCTCGACAGTAGACTCCTTCAGCTGATATCTTGAAATCATTATATTTTACCTATGCAGTAAGATTTTCTCGACTTCTCCGTGTTAGGTTTGGAGATACCTTGTGATTGTTTTCTTTCCCCGTGGAGTCTCGCTTTGTTGAGCCCATCTTTTTTTTCGTTGCTCCTGAGTTTCTCGCGTGCTGTGTCTAGTTTTTTCCCCCCAGTGGCACCTGTTCTCCACAGGACTTTTGTCTTGCATTTCATATCATTGCATATCATATGCATTTGGTGGCTTCTTAGGGCTAAAAATTCGTGCAAACTTTGTA